AAAACGAATGTCGAGCTGAATGTTGTGCTGAATGTCTAGCCAGCTTCACATCCCAGATCGACATTCAGAAAATAGTCAAAAAACGAATGTCGAGCTGAATGTTGTGCTGAATGTCTAGGCAGCTTCACATCCCAGCTCAACATTCAAAATTAAACAAATAAGAATGTTGACCTGAATGTTGTGCTGAATGTCTAGCTAGCTTCACATCCCAGATCGATATTCAAAAAATAGTCAAAAAACGAATGTCGAGCTGAATGTTGTGCTGAATGTTGTGCTGAATGTCTAGCCAGCTTCACATCCTAGCTCTACATTCAAAATTAGACAAAAAACGAGTGTCGAGCTGAATGTTGTGCTGAATGTCAAGCCAGCTGCACATCCCAGATCGACATTCAAAAATAGACAAAAACGAATGTCGAGCTGAATGTTGTGCTGAATGTCTATCCAGCTTCACATCCCAGCACGACATTCAAAATTAGACAAAACACGAATGTCGAGCTTAATGTTGTGCTGAATGTCTAGCCAGCTTCACATCCCAGCTCGACATTCAAAAATAGAGAAAAAAGGAATGTCGAGCTGAATGTTGTGCTGAATGTCTAGCCAGCTTCACATCCCAGCTCGACATTCAAAATTAGACAAAAAACCGAATGTCGAGCTGAATGTTGTGCTGAATGTCTAGCCAGCTTCACATCCCAGCTCGACATTCAAAATAAGACCAAAAACGAATGTCGAGCTGAATGTTCTGCTGAATGTCTAGCCAGCTTCACATCCCAGATCGACATTCAAAAATAGGCAAAAAACGAATGTTGAGCTGAATGTTGTGCTGAATGTCTAGCCAGCTTCACATCCCAGCTCGACATTCAAAATTAAACAAAAAACGAATGTTGAGCTGAATGTTGTGCTGAATGTCCAGCCAGCTTCACGTCCCAGCTCGACATTCAAAATTAGACAACAAACGAATGTCGATCTGAATGTTGTGCTGAATGTCTAGCCAGCTTCACATCCCAGCTCGACATTAAAAAATAGACAAAAAACGAATGTCGAGCGGAATGTTGTGCTGAATGTCTAGCCAGCTTAACATCCCAGCTCAACATTCAAAATAAGACCAAAAGCGAATGTCGAGCTGAATGTTCTACTGAATGTCTAGCCAGCTTCACATCCAAGATCGACACTCAAAAATAGGCAAAAAACGATTGTCGAGCTGATAATTGTGCTGAATGTCTAGCCAGCTTCACAACCAAGCTCAATAGTCAAAAATTGGACAAAAAACGAATGTTGAGCTGAATGTTATGCTGAATGTCTAGCCAGCTTCCCATCCCAGCACGACGTTCAAAATTAGACAAAAAACGAATGTCGAGCTGAATGTTGTGCTGAATGTCTAGGCAGCTTCACATCCCAGCTCGACATTCAAAATAAGACCAAAAGCGAATGTCGAGCTGAATGTTCTGCTGAATGTCTAGCCAGCTTCACATCCCAGATCGACATTCAAAAATAGGCAAAAAACGAATGTCGAGCTGAATGTTGTGCTGAATGTCACGCCAGATTCACATCCCAGCTCGACATTCAAAATTAAACAAAAAACGAATGTTGAGCTGAATGTTGTTCTGAATGTCTAGCCAGCTTCACATCCCAGATCGACATTCAAAAATAGGCAAAAAAACGAATGTCGATCTGAATGTTGTGTTGAATGTCTAGCTAGCTTCACATCCCAGCTCGACAGTAAAAATTAGACAAAAAAACGAATGTCGAGTTGAATGTTGTTCTGAATGTCTAGCCAGTTTCACATCCCAGCTCGACATTCAAAATTAGACAAAAACGAATGTCGAGCTGAATGTTGTGCTGAATGTCTAGGCAGCTTCACATCCCAGCTCAGCATTCAAAATTAAACAAAAAACGAATGTTGAGCTGAATGTTGTGCTGAATGTCTAGCTAGCTTCACATCCCAGATCGACATTCAAAAAATAGTCAAAAAACGATTGTCGAGCTGAATGTTGTGCTGAATGTTGTGCTGAATGTCTAGCCAGCTTCACATCCCAGCTCGACATTAAAAATTAAACAAAACACGAATGTTGAGCTGAATGTTGTTCTGAATGTCTAGCCAGCTTCACATCCAAGATCGACAATCAAAAATAGGCAAAAAACGAATGTCGCTCTGAATGTTGTGCTGAATGTCTAGCCAGCTTCACATCCCAGATCGACATTCAAAAATAGGCAAAAAAACGAATGTCGAGCTGAATGTTGTGCTGAATGTCTAGTCAGCTTCACATCCCAGCTCGACATTCAAAATTAGACAAAAAACGAATGTCGAGCTGAATGTTGTGTTGAATGTCTAGCCAGCTTCATATCCCAGCTCGAAATTCAAAAATAGAGAAAAAACGAATGTCGAACTGAATATTGTGCTGAATGTCTATCCAGCTTCACATCCCAGCTCGACATTTAAAAATAATGAAAAAACGAATGTTGAGCTGAATGTTGTTCTGAATGTCTAGCCAGCTTCACATCCCAGATAGTATTTCAAAATAAGACCAAAAACGAATGTCGACCTGAATGTTGTGTTGAATGTCTAGCCAGCTTCACATCCCAGCTCGACATTCAAAATAAGACACAAAACGAATGTCAAGGTGAATGTTGTGCTGAATGTCTAGCTAGCTTCACAGCCCAGCTCAACAATGATAAATCGAATGTCGAGCTGAATGTTCTGCTCAATGTCTTGCTAGCTTCCCACACCAGCTCAACAGTGATAAATCGAATGTCGAGCTGAATGTTTAATGTCGATCTCTGTGCCAACTTCATGGACTTAGTTATTTTGTAATCCTTTGATGCATGACAGTCCGGACACGAATGTGTGTAACTATAAACTCTAATGTTGATATAGTGAACTTCAAAATGGTAGCGTGACCTTAACCTTTGAGATAGGGGTGTGATAAGTTGACGCGACACATCGTCTTGATGTGGTAGACATTTATGCCAAGTTATTCTAAAATTCTCCCATGCATGACAAAGTTACATTCCGGACACAAATGTGTGAACCTATAAACTTTTATTGTGATAAAGTGAAACTTCAAAATGTTATTGTGACCTTGACTTCTGAGGTAGGTACGTAATACTTGGACGCGACACATCGTCTTGATGTGGTAGACATTAATGCCTAGTTATTTAAATATCATTTCATGCATGACAAAGTTATATAGTCCGGCCAGGAATGAAGTGGGGACGCACAGACAGACGGACGTCCAGACAGACAGACAGAGGGACGGTGCGATTTTAATATGCCTCCCTTCGGCGGCATAAAAATGTTTCTTATCAACACCTTTATCAGATGCGATTAGATTTATAACTCAAGTCCTGTATTTCTAGAATTATCTGCATTTCATTTTTTGATTAAGGATTTATTGAAAATTAATATATTTCTAAGAATTATCTTTGTTATTATAAATGACATCAACTCTAGACTTAAGATAATTGTCCTTTGTCATTACTCACATCATGCATGACAAGGTTTATAACTCTAGCATCCTTATTTCAAGCGATATTTCCTCTTTGAACTTAGAATTTTACTTTAAAAACTTTATTTACTTTTTGCTTCTTTCATTTTGGTACCTTTTTCTTTAAAAAAAATTCAAATTCATCTCTTTTCCTACTATATTGAATGAAAAGCTTCAATTATGTTTTGAATCCATTATTATTATTACTAAACATTATTTTGCTCCTTCTGAAAAAAGAAAAAGAATGTAAATTACTGAGGTATGATATGCCTTTAATATGAAAGTAATTTACAAAATTATTTTCATTGTGAGTTGTAAGTGATTAAAAACCTTTTTTTACTGTAATCCAATTTTTATTTGTCTTCTTTACACTAAAAAGTTAAATCTTAGTTTTTCGTTACATCTAAAATGTTCTTTAGTATTCCAGCTTAAACTATACATTCTTGAAACATGATAGGATCATAAAACATTCAAGGGTGCTGCTATAAGTAATACAGTGACAAGCCGTGTAATCATAATTAAATGCTCATCACTGACCAGAGATAGGAAATTTTGGGGAAAACTGGGAATCTTGGGTTTATGCGTAGGACTGTATCAAAAATAAGAAAGAAAAAAATCAATATCTGGCCAAACAAAAAAAAGAAAAAAAAGAAAAAAATTAAAGAAGGAAAAAATTGTCTCTTCTGGGGTTTGAATCCACGCCCTATAGAAATTCAGTGTTCTCACTGAGAATGAATACTCTTCAAAAAGGAGATTTTGCATTGTAGGCACCCAAGACCTTAATTGTAAGCTCTATAATGGCCTGTAGTTTCACAGAAGAAATTTTTTGTAATGTCATATTAAATGTAATTATGAGAAAACTTAATCTTTACCTTAAACACATATTAACCCATTACTGCATGAGCATTTTGTGAAAAATGTCTGTGTTTTCATTGAAAAGCCTCCTATTACCTAATACTCCTATTATTAATTAGTTCAAATTGCTATGGAACAATAGAAAATGCTGTACATGGTATCCCTACTTTTCAATTCATCAAACTTGGCACAAATTTTGACTCGGTCAAAGCACTTGTAACGGCATGCTCAATCTTAAATTTCCTGTTACTTTAAACACATATTAAAGGCACATTATACATCAGAAACAAATAAATTTATATTTCTTTAGGAAGGACATACATTAATTTCATAATGTTTAAATAATGGATTAAGATAATATGAGATGCTTTTTACCTGAAATAAGTAAAGATACATGTTAAATAATTATTCTCATAAAAGAAGCAGAATGTAAACAAAGTAGTATTTTGACTTCCATACAAAACACTAATTCACTATAACTGTAACTATTTCCAAACAGCAACAGATGAAAAAGATAGTTTAGGTAATAGGCCAATAAGTTTTTTTTGGATACTTAAAGTAAACCAAAATTTAAAAGCTTTTAAGAAATATAAGAAATATAAGAATATTAAACATTTCTGCGGCATAATGGTCCTTTAAAGCTGGTTATATTTAAAAGCTTACCACAGAAACGTGACATAAGGTGTGAACCCGTTTTGATAGGTTGTTCCATCATTCCACGTACAGTTCATGGAGTCAAGATAATTATCTACAACACAGTTTACAGCATCCAATTCAACCGGCATGGCTAAAATAATAAAAATAGCTTTTGGTCATGTATAGATAGATTATTATACATGTATATGTAATAATTGTGTAATATTTTTAAACAGCATCAATTCACAGGTGCCTGATGTTTAACATCCCCTTAATACCGTCTTATATCTATACTTATAAACATTTTATCATATAAATATACTAGTATAGGGGTAGGGTAGGTGTTTGGCTGTGTAAGACATCAGGCACCTGTGCATCAATTTAAACATCAAACCGACATTGACACTGGTGCCCCTACTTTCCACTATTTTGTCAATCTTGACTAAAGTCATTCAATAACAAAAACTTTACAAATACTGAATAAATCCATAAGCAAACCCCAAGGTGCATCACTACACATGCTGACCAACATATACTTTCAGGAATACAGATCAATTACTTTTTAGTTATGCATGAAAAAGTCTATAATTAACACTAAGTCAAATGCAATAACTCTAAAAAAGACTAAAATAATCCACAAGTAATTTTGAACCCCAGGTGCACACAAATAGAAAATTGGAAATATTTACTAAGTCAAGGGCAATAACTCTAACAAAGCAGAATTAATCCACAAGCTAAACAACAGGTGCACAATTTAACATGCTTATGAACATTCCTGTAAATATTCATGACTGTAAGTCACACATTTTTTAGCAATGCGCGAAAAATATGAAAATTGTATATTTTTACTAAATCAAGGGCAATTACTCTTCAAATACTCAATACATCCACAAGAAAACCCCAAGGTGCAAAATCAGATATACTGAACAACATTCCTATTAAGTTTTATGACGATAGGCCAAATACTTTTGAGCTACGCACAACACAAATGGCAAAATTCGAATTTTTACTAAGTCAGGGGCCATTACTCTGATAAAACAGAATAAATCCACAAGTAAAACATCAGGTGCAAAACATCCTAAGCAACATTTCTGTAAAATTTCATGACCCTAGGTCAAAATGTTTTAGCTTCATGCGACACAAGCTAAAATTTGCAAATTTTCACTAAGTCAGGGCAATAACTCTACAAATACTGAATAAATCCGCACACAAATACCCAGATGCACAACTACACATGCTGATGAACATTCCTTTAAAGTTTCATGACTCAAAAGGGAGCATACTTCAGTCAAAATACATGGCAGAGTAATGAATCTTGAGATGTGACCTTCAATTATGACCCTAAGTACATATGTAAAGATATTTGATAGTTTTTATGACCCTTAACCTTTAACCAAAATTTCTAAGTTTCAAAGGGGCATAATTCTGCAAATATTGCAGGCAGAGTTATGCAAATTTGCAAACTGATGTAAATTATTACTATAAAAAAAGTATTGTAAATTTCTATTGAATATCTCAAGCAATAATTGAGATATTTGACTTTACAAAAGCTTTCAAAAAATCTAAATTTCTAAGTTAAAAATGGACATTATTCTGTAAATATTGTAGGCAGAGTTATCCAACCTGTCAATCTGATGTACATTGTAACTATAATAAAGTAATGTTAGTTTCAATTGAATATCTCAAGCAATAATTTAGATATTTGACTTTACAAAAAACTTTAACCAACGCAGACACCGACACGGACACCGACGCTGGGGCGACTGCAATAGCACTCCATATTTTTCGAATAGTCGAGCTAAAAAGGTATCTGTAATTTAGTTTTGAATTCTTACAAAGTTATTTGTAATTAACATTTCTTGGATGCTGACTTAAACTAAGTTAATAACACTTAAAGATATTTCTTATTAGGTTTACACATCATCAACAGAAACTGAATTTAATTTTATTTAGTAGATATTTGTTATTATTAAAAAACAATTAACTATCTCTTTAAAAAACAACTAACTATCTCTGTTGAATATTTTCTACGCTTACGGAAAACTGTAATAGTTGACACATCACCAAGCATCTCTGTATCGTTTATAATTCCAAATGTTTCCCAGTAGAGACACTTTACCCAAGTTTTAGTTGTAACATTGTAAAGTGTAAACATGGATACAGTTTGGCTCATCATGGTTACCCAGTCTTCGGAAACAGGTTTCCACGACTTATTGGTACTGGAATTTTTTACAGCGAAACCTATGGAATGGCTAGAGATTGGAGTGCTTTGCAATGTGCAGGTGAAGATGGCATTCTGGGTGGTGCACAATTGGGGCGCAGTTGGGTCAAGTTTGCCGTAAGAGTTGCCTGTAATAAGAAAATTTGAATGCTATATAGATCTATAACATAAAGAAGAGAGTATAAGTTGGGGCAATACAAAAACAAATGTTTGTTTCTGATGTCTAGCCTTTGGCCTTGTTTTCGTCTCTTTTCTGTCTCGGTCTTTTAATAAGATAATAATTTTTCTTGGTTTTAATAGCTTTCTGATAGCATTTGTTCCGGACCCTTTCATTTTGGAAAGCAACATTAAGAAACAAACATATATTTTTCTATGTTGACATATATAAATGTATACATGGGTAGTAAAACTTACAGTAAAGTACATTTAAAATTGTCACAACTTGTTTTGATGTATTACAAGCGTCGCCAAGTGTACAACAAGTAGACCATTGTCAGATCTACTGACATTATAATAATGTAAATTCAACAGACTGTTTTCCATTTTTATTAACATCATTCATTTTTCTGAAGCTATGTTTTCCTGTCATAATCGATATTTGATTCTTAGCACCCAAAGACCTGTTACACTTAAAAGTGGCATTTGATGAAAAAAAAACTGCTGGTCTGTTGGAAACATCTTAATGGCTGGTTCCCGGCTATCTTCTGAAGAAATTGCTGTAAAAAAATACATTTTTTAAACTGGACACCTGAAGCTGTTCTACAGATAACAAGAAATGTATCAAATACATGTACACTTTTGTGCAATTTTACCTGTCCATTTAAAGATGGCCGTATTCTGTAACACTGTCAATACATAAGACCCTTGGCCTGCAAAGAGCAACAGTTTAATTCTAGCCCAGCTACCAGTGCAGACCAAGATAGGCTGCAGTGTCATTTTAATGTGCTATCAGATCATGGTCTGCACTTGTTTGCTATTCAGTCATTACATATTTTGAAATTTTCCCTAAAAATGATTAATGGTTTTATCCAGATTGAAAGATACACAAGTCCATTAAAGACTTTAAGCGGGGAAAGGGTTAAATATCATCACTTTCAGAAAGTAGGGACATGATAGCACAAACTTATTAACATTTATCATATCACGTAAGCTTTGTACATTCATTTTGAAATCAAGACACTGATTTGTACAATTACCAAAGTTTTGTGGGGGAAAATATTGGCACTAACGACTGTAAAAATTGCAGATATTAAGAGAATTTTGTAATGAGTTATGGAATTTGTGCCAATCATGTAAGATAATCACATAGAACAAGTGTGTGAAGTTTCAATTAATTCCCTTCAATAGTTATGGCGATACCAGCTTACACGCAAAAACATAACCAAGAATTTCTTATTCGAAAAAAGGGCCTAGTTATGCAAAAAAGCAAATGCGAGTTATGGGACTTGTGCCAATCATGTAAGATAATCACAGAGAACAAGTGTGTGAAGTTTCAATCCATTCCCTTCAGCTTACACTAAGAATTTCTAAGACGAGAAAGGGGCATAATTATGCAAAAAAGCAAATCAGAGTTATGGGACTTGTGCTTATCATGTTAGATAATCACAGAGAACAAGTGTGTGACGTTTCAATCCATTCTCTTCAGTAGTTATGGAGATACCAGCTTACACGCAAAAACTTAACCACAGGGACGCCGATGCCGACAAATGTGTGACTGCATTAGCTCGATTATTCTGCGAATAGTCAAGCTAAAAATGTGTGAACTGCACAATTTTTACATAATTATACAAGATAAAGTTTTACCAAAAAATGTTTTTAGATGTACAGGCTGGCCTGAGACTGATACTTAGTCGCATTTTTATGTCTATCTTAATAATTTGCCTCTTTTTGTTTGTTTTTTTTTTCTGTTTTTTTTATGCAAAATTCTAACATATTTTTTTAAACAAATCCTGGCGGTTGATCAATCTTACCAGCTTCCTGGATAACTAACCAGCTTTTCTGGATAACTAACCCGAAATTACCTGCAGTTTCTCAGCAAATGACGACCAAATTATTACAGTAACATTGGCAAGAGACAAATGACTATAAGATTAAAGTCAATGTTTAAATCTATTGTCACAAAGATTATTATTATTGTATGTAATATTTTACACTCAAAGGACTAAATCAAAATAACATAAAATCAATGCTTAATTTGATAAAATTATGATTTTTACATTTTGATACTCCCGTGACTGATTATTTAAATATTATGAATCTCTGAAAATGAAAACTTTGAATAACTGTCACTTACTCTCAGAAATAAATAATGAGGAACACACGGTAAAATAGGAGAGCTGAATCAGCCATATCCAGTGTAAGCTATAACCCATTCTGTACACTAAACTGATGAAATGTCACTGTAATATGAACCAAACAATATCTTTATACACAAAGTTAGCTGAGCTTCTGAAATGAAAAAAAGAAAGAGAAAAAGGAAATACACAATGGTAATTGTTGTTATCCGGAAGTCAGCTATTTTTTTTCGAAGCTGTTTCTGTAAAAGTTTGTTTGTTGCCCCCAGATTAGCTGATAAAACCGTAACTATTTATCATTTATTATACTAAGTAAGTCCATTCAGTTAAATACAGAATTTCTAGTATTCAGACTGAATTTACAAATAAATACACATACTGGAGGTGCAGTGAAAAGCTTAATATCCCTTTCAGTTCCGGCACGTTAAGGTTGTTGGCTGTGGTAAAAGCTTACTCCTAAATGAAGAATATTTTTATTTTTTTCCCAAAGCTAATCGAAAAATAAACCACAGGTTGGCTATCTATTGAGGTCGGTAGTGCACCTTTGAAGTTTAATTATGGTAAAAGTTTGTTTGTACCAGGGAATAAGCTGGGAAAATCCCACATCTGCCGAGTTCCGTATAATATCTATTTGATGCCACAAGTCAAAATTTACAAAAGTCACATTAGCCTGAATCATCAGCCAATTAGGAACCAGGTTAACCAGTAAAAATCACTTCAAATAGCTGGATAGCTTTGTTATAATTATTTGTTTGTTTGTTTAATTGGGTTTTACGCCACAATGACACATTATAGGTGATATGGCGACGTTCAACCTTTACTGGTAGAAGACCTCAGGTGCCCTTCCGTGCATTATTTCAGGCACGAACGGGAACCTGAGTAGAACCACCGACGTTCCGTAAGCTAGCTGGATAGCCACCTGAAAGAATCCAAAGTCCCTGTCGGGATTTGAACTCACAGCGGTGAGGGGCAAGTGGTTTGAAGTCAACAATCTTAACCACTTGGCCATTGGCGCCCCATTTGTTTTAATTATGTTCTGAAAAAGTCCACAACCCTGACTTTATAATCATCACTCTTTTACTCAAACTTTAAATTCAGTCATAATCTATAACCAACAAAATATTGATTCGATATTTACCAATATGATTATAATAAATATATATAAAACTATAAAAATAATATAAAATTATAAAATAATTATCACCATAATTAACATAGTAAAATATAATTTTGATGAAAAATTAAATTTATTCAATATTAAATTCAGTCTATTTTACTCATGAAAGCAGAATTTCCTGTCTTATCTTTCTAAATATTTTAAAACATTTGAATTTCCAATTTTTTTATGTCCCTACTAAATTACTCTCTTCTAACTCTAAGTCTAAAATCCATCTACCTAATTAAAGCTCCAGTTGATTGTATATATAATAATTTTATTATGAAAATTAATATTCCATTGGTTACATTTTTATTACTTTAAACGCACGTTTCTTTTGTGTGTTTTTTAGCCAATCAATGTAATCTAACTTTTTAAGTTGTCATATTTCTTGGAATAATTGTAAGAAAAAATTTCGTTACAATTTAAGAGTGTGTCATTATAAAACTTCATGTAAGTGGTTAATTTCCTGACGAAATGTTGAGATGATAATCTGCAAAGTATAGGTGAAAGTTTATAAGTGCGTATTTACAAAAATAAAATACATCGTCTTTTTATAAAGTCATCAAACATGATCTTTTTACAGTCATCAAACATGACCTTTTTACAGTCATCAAACATGATCTTTATACTGTCACCAAACATGATCTTTTTACAGTCATCAAACATGACCTTTTTACAATCACCAAACATGATCTTTTTACAGTCATCAAACATGATCTATTTATACATTCATCAAACATGGTCTTTTTATACAGTCATCAAATATGATTTTTTATACAGTCATCAAACATGATCTTTTTACAGTCATCAAACATGATATTTTTATACAGTCATCAAACATGATCTTTTTATACAGTCATCAAACATGATTTTTTTACAGTCATCAAACATGATTTTTTTACAGTCATCAAACATTTTTTTTACAGTCATCAAACATGATTTTTTTGACAGTCATCAAACATTATACAGTCATCAAACATTATGATCTTTTTATACAGTCATCAAACATGATTTTTTTCATCAAACATGATCTTTTTTCAGTCATCAAACATGATCTTTATACAGTCATCAAATATGAGTCTTTTTATTACAGTCATCAAATAATGATTTTTATACAGTCAAAACATGATCTTAGTATGTCATCAAACATGATCTTTTTATATACAGTCATCAAATATGATTTTTTTTACAGTCAGTCAAACATTGATCTTTTTACAGTCATCAAACATTGCATCTTAGTATTACAAGTCATTCAAACATCATCTTCTTTATAGTCATCAAAAATGATCTTTTTATACAGTCATCAAACATGATCTTTATACAGTCATCAAACATGATCTTTTTACAGTCATCAAACATGATCTTTTTTACCGTCATCAACCATGATACTTCTTACAGTCATCAAACATGATCTTTTTACAGTCATCAAACATGATCTCTTAGTATACAATCATCAAAACATTAATCTTTATACAGTCATCAAACATGATCTTTTATACAGTCATCAAACATTGATCTTTTTATAGTCATCAAACATGAATCTTTTTATACAATCATCAAACATATCTTTATACATGTCATTCAAAACATGATACTTTGTATAGTCATCAAAACATGATCTTTTTATACAGTCATCAAACATGATCTTTTTTACATGTCATCAAACA